GTCTAACTCTCTTAGACGATGTAACGATTTCAAGATCTCTCTTGGCTTTTTTTCTAGTGGCTTAACTGATTCAATCCTTGAACTCCATCGTGTAACAGAAAGTTTATGTAATGATTGGCCTGTCTCCTCCTGAAGAATTTTCCAACGAACTGGGCTGCTGCTGAACAGATTGTATAGCTTTTGAACATTTCCAAAATAAGATTTTGCAGGAGCCGATGATTTAATAGCGTGTACTGCACATAAGTTCAAACTGTGAGCAGAACAAGGAATGAAAATTGCTTGTGGATTATTCTGTCTTATCAAAGCTTGAACTCCATTGCAAAATACCTGCCATATTAACGCCGTTGTCGTAGCCTTGACCACGACAATTTTTTATGTCGAGCTCATTCTCTTCCAACACATTCAATATCAACTTTGTTATACAAGATCCCTTCTTCTTTTCAAGTTCTTCTAGCTTAAGGAATCTTTCTTTGACCTTCCAAACAGGAAGAAAACAGCTGATCATCATTGAAATGCAAAAAAACAAAAAACAAAAGTTATTTGCTCGCTGTGGGACGAATCGGGAGTGCTGTCCGTGATGATGGTGAAATATATTGATTTTTTGATTTCTCGAATAACTTCTCGAACCACTAATTTGCCGCATTCCTTGATAAATTCATTTTGTGATTTCCAGGATAAATAATGAGCTTGCATGCGTTTTTCTTCTTCTTGGTGTTTAGCAATAAGATGCGTATGATCTTGTAATGTTTTGTTGTGGCGAGCAATTAATTCGAGCGCTCCAAGGAAGTTTCCATTTTTGAACAACTTTTGATTGGATCCTAATTACAAACAAAAAATAATCAAAATAGTAATCCATATTTATATCCAATTAAAACTTGTAATTTTGATTTTTAAATGACAAATAAAATTATGCAAAATATAATTTAAAATTTAAAAACAATATTCTTACCCCTAAAAGCTAAGTTTCTTGAAGCTAGAAAAATTGTGACGTCAAGAATGCATTGTAAAATTACTTTCCATCGCTTTGTTTCATCTCCAATTTGTTTTTCTAACTGATGCTCACTGGATTTTTCAAGTGAATTGTAGCTGTTTTCCATTGGAGATAACAGTTACGGTGAAAATCGCTTTGTTGATGACTTTTAAGGCGATCTGAAAGTTTTCTCCAATTTCCATGTATACCTCCATTCCAAGACAACAAACTGGATTGAACACCGGGTCTGGTTAAGGTAGGCGATCCAAAAAGGGAGCAAGGGAAACAAAAGAGTGATGCTACAGCCTTACTCCAAACGAGCCAATCTCTTCTAACATTTTATCCGTTTCTTTGTTCTTCTAAAATAAGAAGGGAATTTGCGTTCTTTTTGATCTCTTGGAAAATTGCTAGGATTTAAAGAAGGTCCCATCAGAATTATATTCGTTCGATCAGTGTCTGATATTGATTTCCATAGTACAGGATCGTTAGAGTTTGGTATAGAAAGATAACTTTTATAAATTTGTTGGTCATTGTGAGAATCAAGTCCAAAATCCAACTGATCATTTTTTAAATGTGATGATGTTTTTAGGGAGTCATCAATGTCATCGGCGAGAAAAAGTTTGTCGGAAATATGGTCTGGCAACTCATTAGAGTCATTGGTACCGATCTCAATATCATTGAACTATAAAGAAGTGTTAAACAGAGTTATTCTAATTATTTTTTCATGAACGTCTCAAGATTAAAAAATAGTTTAACTACCTACTTGCATTTATCTTCGATTTTTGTCCAACGAACGCAATCTAAAAGCGTTCGTTTGTTTTTGCTTTCGTTTTTTTTCCGAATCATCGCTCTTTTTCCCTCAGCAGCTCTAGACAGCTGGTTCAATCGTGGAAGTGTTTGATTATTCATGCTAAAACTTATGACGATATAAAGAATTTTAACTTTTTAATAAATAATACGATATAAAGAATTTTAAATTTTAAAAATTAAAAACTTTATAATACTTTGGTGTTATTAATTGCAGAGAAAAAGTCAGCACTTACAATTAAAATATCCACTGAAGATAAGTTTCTTGTCAAAATATAGTCGGAACAAAATGCAGGCGAGTCAAAAACATACATATGCACAAAAGTATCCACAGGGACGCAAGGTTTAAGCAAAAATAAGTTAAACTATTATAAGTTAGCCTTTTACAAACGTTAAATTAGAAAATTTTTTTTTTTACGCTTTTTATTCTATCATGCGAACAAAAGGCCAATGAAAACGCGTGCGTTCAAATGGATAATGAAAATCTTGTTAAGTAATATTTATCTTATTTTAAATGCAAACAAAGTTTAAAAGGAGATAGAAATTAATACACAAAAATTGCTTAATCTTTAAATACGTTATCAGCTAAATTTTTTATCACTTCAATAATTTTTTTTTAAAGCATGTGATGCCCCATAGACTGTGATGCCCGGGGCAAACTACTTCAATTGCCCCCCCCTCTTGGCGGCCCTGTATATATATATATATACATATATATATATATATATATATATATATATATATATATATATATATATATATATATATATATATATATATATATATATATATATATATATATATAGCATCCTTGTTGCGATTTTCGGGGACATGTTATTTTTGTTCCCGTTCTGTTTTTGTTTTTTTACTTTTTTATACTATTTTTATCGTATTTATATATACTTTTTAACTTTTATTTTATTTTTATTTATATATATTTAGTTTTATTATTTTATCATAAAAATATATATTTTATATTAATTTTCGTTATTTTTATTTATTTATTTTATATTATATTTCATTTTTAACTTCATCTATTTATAAAAACGAATAATTACAATCAGGCTTGTGGAGCCGACTGTTTTTTTCACGGCTCGGCTCCGGCTACTAAAAAATATCCGGCTCCGGCTTCCGATTTGACTCGGCTCGGCTCCGGCTGCGGCTTCCGAACTTTATGAACAAAAATTGCAAGTCTTGAAATATTTTTTTTGATCACATTTGCTAACCCAAAACTATACCAAATACAGCAATTAATTTTTTACCAACTCTCATGATTACAAAGTTTTTGTGTTACTATAACTACTCTTCTACCGAATATTATATTTAAAAGAAAAATGTTTTAAGTAAATAAAAACTTTTTTTATATATTATTTACCAAAAACTGGAGTTTTTAGTTCAAATTTTAGTTCTAATTTTACCCAGGGGCACGGGAAACTAAAAAAGACGTCTTTTGAACGTCCCAAAAACATCCAAAACATTCAAAAGGCATCAAAAATATTTAAAAGATGTTTAAAAGACGTTTTTCTTACGACTTCACCTAAAAAAGACGTATTTTGAACTTTCAAAAGACGTTAAAAACCAACGTTATAAGCAAATTTAAACCTTGCCGTAACCCTATCCCTAACCCTGACCTTGATGCCTGGCCTAACCAAACCCGCAGTCGATGTAGGGGCATTCCCTTGTGAGTCAGGCTATTTGATATTCGATGTATGTACTTTTCGTTCTCTATAAAAGTTTTTTATGGGTACATTTTTTTACAAAAAAAAAAATAATGCTTACAGGGACAAAAAATTAACGGGTACACTAAAATGTCCCCGATAATGCTAATGTCCTCATAAGTGTTCGTTTTTTGTGAAATCTGTTCCCGTAAGTGTAAAACTATAAGGTACAACATCATGTTTTATTTTGTTTATTACAAATATTGTTCCTCTCGACATAAGCATTACTGTTTTTACGGCTATTTAAAAGCCTTTAAAAACAAAATCGCAAAGTATTATCGGATACTCGACAAATAGGTGTTCATCAATAAAAAAAATTAGAAGTTGTCGAATTTTTTAATTGACCATCTAAATCATTTTTAGAACAATTATAGAATAAAATATCAGTACTTATTATGTTCTGCATTACTAGATAGGTTGTCCTTAATGATTTTAAACACTTATTTTTAAAATTAAAATTTTCAAAGTTAAAACCCAATTTATGTCAACTCTCATATTGTCTTCATAAAATTTTTTTTTATTTTGGACAGCTTTTTCGAGGTATTATTGAGTTCAACCAACAACTGTTGAAAAACAGCTTGTTAAACAAAATATGTAGGAGGTCTGCCGAGCTACTATAAAAGTTTGGACTGACCTTAAACCACCTCAGTTTTTTGTATTTGAATTGGTAAGCTCTATCAAACCTCTATTCCGACAGTCTCCTTTAAGTCCGCAAACTTAAAGAAGATGATTTATTTAGTTCAAGGCAACCTGCCCAATTCCAAACCCTCAGTCGATGTATGCACACTCACTGTGCCTATGGCTAAATAAATCAGTTGATGTATGCACACTGCGAGGCGCCTATCCCTATATAACCCAATTTGCCTATTTCCGGTTTTCGGACGTCAAGGATGCTCAACGTCAGAATAGACGTTTTGAAAAGACATTTGACAATATAATTTTGAAAAGACATTTGACGTTTGACATCAAAACAACAATAACTTTTACTACCAAAATGCCGTTGACCGAGCGTAATGTTTCGAAATTCGACACAGTTTTCTAAAAGACCACTTGTTGTCTAATTTTGTTACTTAAATGCATATAACAATTTATAGAATGATCCAATTTCTATAAAATTTTCATTTTTTTAATTCTAAGTTTATGCACCTTTTAATGATAATATAATAATGTAGTGTTTAAACAATTTTTACACACAAACCTATCAGCCTACTAATAGGCTATTAAGTATGTGAATAAAGTACATTATAATATATAGTACAATTTATTGTACTCTGATACAACTCGTATACAGAACTAATCCATATATAGCATTATTCAAAATTGAGAATATAAAATAAAAATATTAGTTTTGAAGATTTTGTACTTGATTCAAAAATTAAATTTTTTTTTTTAATTATGCAATTTGTGTTTAAAAATTTGTTTCGAGGAATTCTTACAACTACGACGATAGATCAATCCACATCGTTAGTTCAATTAAACAAATGACAAAGCTTGAATCAAATCATGAAATGAAAGCTATAAATTATATCATGAATTTTAGCTCGTTCATCCGATCTCATTCATCAAATATTTGCCTTGGCTGAAATTTTTTAAATGTTTTTTTCTCCCTATTTACTATTATACACTCCCTACAACTTAATTACTATTGCTTTATTGTTTGTAGCAGTAAAAAATAATTTATTTTGTAAAAATATTTTTCTTAAACATAATGCAACATAATTATAATTGAATTGTCTAATTTCTTTAAAAAAAATTTTTTTTTAAATCTTTTTGTTTGTTTTTTTACTATTTTGCCTATTATATATATATATATATATATATATATATATATATATATATATATATATAAATATATATATATATATATATATATATATATATATATATATATATATATATGTATATATATATATATATATATTTATATATATATATATATATATATATATATATATATATATATATAAATACATATATATATATATATATATATATATATATATATATATA